TAGGAACAAAGGCATCTGTTGTGCAAATTACTTAGAAGGTAAATATGTAATACCATCCTCTCAGCAGCAGTAAATACTGATTTTCAAGAAACCTCAGGCCTGGCATGATTACATAAATAGGAATGGGCTGACTAGGGAAGAAGAACAAAAGAACTACAGCTTGTATATAATAAAATACAAGGGGACTGCAAATCAAGCTTGGAAAGTTGAATCTGTGATGATAAATGACAACGGGATGATAACATCTTAATTTCCTGCAATACATTTTATTGTGAATGCATGCCTTGGGTGACAGGTAGGGTCTCATCAGCAAATGTCAGTGCCTGCTGTATTCATAGACACTAAGGGTTGCTTGTGAACAAAGATGATGTCATAAAAGTTCCCATAGTGACTTCCCATTAAGAAGAAAGGAGCCTGACTCCACTAGTGTCTCTCAATACAAACGTCTGAAATGGAGTATATTCCTAACAGATGATACAGCATTTCTAGTCTGACACAGCAATATCAATCTTAAAAAAGAAGCAGTTGCTTCAGAAGCAGGATGCTACTTCCTGCACAGAGAACAGAGGAGGTGACTGGGAGTCATAATGCAGGGAATAAAACAATCCCTGCCTATGCTGATTTCAACAGGTTCTGACTCCTGTACATGTCAGAAGCAGTCTGCTTTATCTATCCAATATATAGTCGGGCTTTGGTCTTTTCCAGAACCCACTGTGTCCTGGAAAATGGCCAGAGCCTGACTGGTAAGAGCTCCCAATGCTGTCACTTTTATAAGCACTCCTTGCGTCTGATTGAAGGACAGTGTGCATTCAAATTCATCTTAGAATAAGAACCAATAAGGACAGTGATCTCATTTTCAGTAATGGAGGCAAATCATGAGGTTACCTTGGAGATGAACAAGGGAGCTGCTGACTCATTCTTGTCTCCCACCTGAATATATGTAGAAGCAGAAGCATCAAAACTGAAAGTGGATGAGAGGAGAAAGAACGTACTTGATCCTGAGTTCTCATTCCAATATTAAAAGGAAAAAAAAACCTGTGGCAAGTGGGGCATGATCATTTATCCCTTGTGTGTTTCTATCTCTTGCCTATCTACATGAAAGCCTCCATTTCTGCCTATTGATGGACGATTGTGATTCTCTGTTGCCAGTTTCTGCTTGCTGCTGCCAGTTTCTGATATGATATGGCAGCTTCCCCAAGAGAAATGATTAAATGCTTGAAATTAAGTTGTGACATGATATATATATATATATATATATATATATATATATACTGTATATATACATATACATATACATGTACATATACATATACAGTGTATGTGTATGTGTAAATAGTGCCTGAAATGGGATGTTTGTATTGTTAATACAGATGTGACTTTGAAGACCTGCTAAGAATATCCCTAATATCCATATCATAGCTTGCAGTGTCATGTTTATTAAGCCATAATCTGATGTATTCCTTTTAGAAAGATATATTCATGATACATATATACCATCAGCAATTGCATATTTGTTTGCTTCATTTATTGATTTTTTGTGTGGTTCCACACATATCTGCATGCATTTGGCATTAATTTTGGTTCCACAGTGCCAATCCATACTCATAAAATTTCCTGTTCAGGATTAATGTGTGATTACTCATATTTTGAACAAATTCACTACATTACTATCACAGATATAGTCTGCAATTGCTCCTCCATCCTTTGATTTTTTACTTACTCTATTTTTTGTTATCTGTGTTCATGTAAAGTACCTGAGTATGTATGTGTATGATAACAAATATTAGCCCATTGGCAGCATCTCAGGGCCAGAATAGTGGAGAAAATCTATCTTTCCACTTTTGTCAGCTTATTAAATAATATAAGTCAATCATACATTTTTCACTTCACCATTCTTCCACAGGATACATTAGAATGTTCCCTGGATTTCATAGTGAAAGAATTATGCATCAACATGCAGTTGATGCAATTGCAAGAATAGAGTTATGCTTAAATAGCCAGCACATTTTAGTGGCATGCAGAGTTGCACACCAATGTCACACTGATATAGCGTTTCCTCCCGGTATGAATGGTGATATATTGTGAACCCAAATAATGTGTGTGAATATCACAGCAGAGGACACTCCAATAGATTAAACATAGTGGTTCCATATACATGAAATAATATCACTGGGGAAGCCGTGATCTATTTTTTTTCTGACAGCCTTCAAAGCTGCCATGGGCTAAATATGGATAGACTCAGTCTAGGAGAGAAACAAAGACAGGCATTGTTGGAATATACCTTTAAGTTGAATGCTTGGTTGTCATTTGCCTTAACACCTACACTTGAGATCTCACACATTTAATCACAGTAATTGAAAGGTGCATATGCCATTAATCCCAGCACTAGGAAAGGAGTGATGGCTGGGCAGACAAAGGTGTATAAGGCCTTACGATAAAGGAACTAGAGGCTTTTTGCCTGGATAGCTTTCATCTAAGGACTCAGAGACATTCATTCAGAGGATTAATGGAGTTGGAAAAATGAGACATGGCAATGGATTATTCCTTTGTTTCTCCCATCTGTCATAATTTACCCCAATATGAGCTTCTTGTTTTTTGTTTGTTTTGTTTTTATTTAAAATCCATCTACTACTTGTACAACAGTTTTGGCATTTGCCAAATATTTTACGCAAACTGTCCATTAAAACTCAGGGATTTTATTTTCACTATCCACTACCTATGTCTTCACTACAAGAATTGGATAGTGATGCAAAATATCATATTTTGATTTGTATATTCTAATAATTTTTCCAAGTTCTCCATAATTTTGAACAGTTAGCTTGCTGATATACCCATCTACATTGTGGAGTAGACTATATTCAGGAATACATAAAGTATCTTGATGGATATTCCTCAGAAAACACACACATATTGTGATTATGCAACCAATAACTCCATGAATTTTCTTTCTCTGACTCTATCCTTTTTTTCCATCACTTCCAAACTTGGTTTTCTGCTTCCTAGATAAAAATATAGTATCTCAACACTCCTTTTGTAATCCCTCATACATCCATCAAGAGCTACACTGTTGAATGTCCTGCACTTCAAAATATTGGAATACTGAAAATTTATGTTTTCTCTTCTTCTTCTTCTTCTTCTTCTTCTTCTTCTTCTTCTTCTTCTTCTTCTTCTTCTTCTTCTTCTTCTTCTTCTTCT